CACACTGGAAACAGAGCCAGGCATGGTGGTACACACCTTTAATCCCAGCACTTGAGATCTCATATGTTTGCTTGGAAAAGACACTTGCCTTTAACCCCAGGAAGCAAAAAGGTGTATAAGGCATGAGGACCAGAAACTAGAGGCTTTTTAAGCAGCAGTTCAACTGAGACCCTCAGGGTTGAGACTTTCAGTCTGAGGATTCATGGAAGCAGGATTGGCTGAGGAGTTGGTGAGGTGAGGTTGCTGTGGCTTGTTCTGTTTCTCTGATCTTTCAGTTATTACCCCAATATCTGGCTCCAGGTTTTTTTTTTATTAATAAGACCTTTTAAGATTCATTTTACATGCACCTCTCTCCAATTCTGTATATCCTGGTCATGGCTGGGCCTCTTCTTCCTGTACCCCTGAGTAAAGTTGTCAATTCCACCAATCAGCTGCACCAAAACTACCAGAAAGGATAGATTTAAATTGTCCCAAGTACTGGGAACCCCACAGATATCTGGATCTGAACCCTAGTAAATTGTGGAAGACAAGAATCTTCTGAAAAGTTTCCTGTGGCTTGGTGGGTAGTAACAAAGATGCACACCATGGTTTTCGACATGGGTACTGGCAGACACTGAAGAATTGCTCATTCAATGCCTCACCAGAATGGATAACACTACAAAGTATTGACATGGCCCTTAGTGATGGCACTTACCATGAATACAATGATGTGTGTGTGGTGGCCTATGTCATCCATGACATGCTTCTTCAACAAGTAGTTAATCAAAAATGGGAAAAGACCAGATTCTAACTGCTCAGAGAGACTTTGTCTTCCACCGAATGGTACATAGTATCAGCAATGTTGCATTATTTAAGAGTCTATCAGATGCTCAAATCAGAAAGCTAGGAAAATAGTTCCCAAATAGAAGAATTCCTGAACATTCTTATTTGATAGCTGGTAAATCTAGATGTGAGTATACATCTTTATGAAGAAGGCAGTGGAGTGCATGTTAGAATTTATCAATGAAGATCAATGATTTCATTAGAGAAGTATTTAGCAATTTCACATCTGTTCTAATATAGGAAACATATTCAGTCTTTCCTTATGAATTCCTTCAGTGATACAAACTTGTTTTGTAATTGACAAAAATATCATGGGCACTGTACCTGCTTGTTTGCATTATTGTTCTCAACTAATTCTGGCCCACTGTAGATGCTGAGGACTTCACTGCCTTGGTGCTTGATGATGATCACACAGAAAATGATGTGGGATTTAGCTCAGTATCAGTAATGTGTGTGTGTGTGTGTGTGTGTGTGTGTGTGTGTGTGTGTGTGTGTGTGTTTTCTCTGTGTGACTATGTGGTTCTCTGTGTTATGTATATGTGTTTTGTTTGTGTTTGTCTATTTCTATGTCTATTTATGTATTATGTGTGTGTAGTATTGTGCATATGTGTTCTCTACATAAGTTTGTGTCCATGCAAAAATGCATTTATGTGTGTATTGTATGTATGTTCAAGGGTTGTTGTCTGTGTATGTCCCTGTATGTGTCTTTGTATTTGTGTATGTGAAACTGTCTATATGTCTGTGTGTAGTTATTTTTCAGTAATTATGTATCTGTATATATGAGTGTGTCTACATGTGTATGTCAGTGTGTATATGCCTGTGTGTCTGTACATGTGTGTCTATATTTTTTCAGTGTGTGTGTGTGTATGTGTGTGTTGTTTCTTTTCAAAGAATTAAAATCCTAGAAATGTGATGATAATTTTGTCATTGTTCTTTCATTAACTTTTCTCCCCTGGGCACATTTAACAAAGTTGCATTTTGAGGGAGGGATTAAAGAGAACAAGATGAATTCAGAACAGATTTTTTTGACTTGATTAGGGGCACACTGCACTGTACGATGCTCCCTGTCTTTCAGATGAACTCCTTTCTGAAGAAGACCCACTTCACTAATCCTGTTGGAGAAGTAGTGACTATGACCAGAAAGAAATATTACACACAGATTATGACCTTTTCCAGATTTTGAATTTCCCACAGTCTTGGACTTAAGATGAAAATAGCAAAGTTTAACCCATGTCTTCCACATGGTCAACAGCTCTATTTATATCTGAAGACATGATAGAGTGGACAGGTGGGTCTGATGTAATGGTACTGATTTACACTACACAGCTGTGCCTGCTTTCAAGCGGGGCCATTTGTGCTTCCTAACTTACTGCACTGAAGTGGATTGTCATGTAATAATTATTTCTACTCTCCTAGAACTGGCACAGTAGCATTCTACATCCTAGCTGTAGAATGTATTTGGGGTCACATAAATGCAGCATTTCAATGCAGATCTCCTGGAAAAAAAAATGAGTTCTTTCTTCATTTCCTCTTTTTTAAACTTTTATTGATTCTTTGTTGATTTCACACCATGCATTCCAGTCCCACTTATCTCCCTGTCCCCTTGCATCCTATCTGCCCCCTGCCCTTGTAACCTCCCCCCAAAACAAAACCAAGTTTAAAAGAAAAACCAAAAAACAAAAAACAAAGAAACAAAACAACAAAAACAACCACAGTAACAGTAACAAAAAGAAAAAGAAAAGAAGAATCTTGTAGAAGCTGTAGTATGGCCCATTGCGACACAGTGTACCCTTTAGTCCATTCATCTTTACTTGGAAGTGCTCATTACCAGAGTCACTGATCTGACTCTAGGCCTCTGGTTTCTGCCACACCACTGATGATGAGCTCTCCCCAGTGCGCCTCTCTGACACCCTGTCATTGTCTAGTATCATGGAGATCTTGCTTTGCAATCTGCAGGTTAGGCCTCAGTGGAATACAGGGCCTGTGTGTTGTAGTTGGTGTAGGGCAGGGTTAGTTCTCTCACTAGATACCCCAGGACCAGCTCTCGCCTGCCACAGGTAGGAAGCAGTGGACGGGGGGGGGGGGGGGGGGGGGGCATCTTTCCCTCACCCATGCCACCATATGGCACACGACGGGGTGGGGGTAGGCAGGGTCACTTTCTGGCCCTCATGTCTTCAGGGTCAGCTCACCTGTGTCCCCAACCCCAGGGTCAGGTCTAGTGTGCTTTCCAGGTGAGGTGCATGCTTATAGTGAGGGGTGAGGCTATAGTGTGGAGGGAAATCTCTCCTCTGAGGAATAGGGCCAGCTTGCCTACTGTGATATTCAGGAAGGGGCAGGACCAGCCACCATAGGACCAGAGAAGGACTGGGCTGGCTCAGCACAGCATGGTTCCAAAGTCCCCGGTGCTAACATGGGCCATGAACATCACAACAGGCCCCAGCTGCAGCAGGACCATGGACCCAGACATGCACTCAGCAGCAGCTTGGGAATATACCATACACATTTTAGGTCTCGATGCAGGAATGTGCCTTTATGAAATATGTGTTGATGTCAAACAATCCCAGTATCACTCTCAGATGTAAAGCTATAATCAGCAAAAGTATGCTTCAAAATTATGTAATTGTCAACCTTGCTTAAATATGCACACTTGGCCGGGCGGTGGTGGCGCACGCCTTTAATCCCAGCACTCGGGAGGCAGAGCCAGGCGGATCTCTGTGAGTTCGAGGCCAGCCTGGGCTACCAAGTGAGTTCCAGGAAAAGGCGCAAAGCTACACAGAGAAACCCTGTCTCGAAAAACCAAAAAAAAAAAAAAAGCACACTTGATGGATCCTGTCTGAAGCGGGGTTCACCTGAATATTCTAAAATTGATCAGTGATGTCAGTGAAAAGGTCCATGTATTGGCATGTCCACATTCATAAGCTTGTTTCTGGAAAACTGACCATTCCAAAAATACAAACTATGTGACACATGCGACCGTCCTCCCTCATTAATACAAAAAGACACAAGTCCATCTTACGTAGAAAATGGCAATAAATATATTTCTTTGAGCATCATTTTCAATAGATTGTTTTAGAACTTCAAGTCTTAAGTTCATGGAAATTCATGGTCTCACAGTATAAAATTGAGTGAAAATATTATGGAACAAGTCTCTGCTATATAGGTGAAAGATTTAAAGACATAATCTTGACTATAAGAGAAGAAAAAAAGGTAAATAAAGCAAAATAAACACTTTCAATAACATTACAAGTGGTAGAAAATTAAAGATTTGAACGGTTTCAACAATAAAAACAATTTTCAGAGAAATGTAGACATGACACTGACCTGGGGACCATTAACCACCGAAGCATTCATTCTTCTTGCTGCTCCTTTCTGAGTTTATCTGTCAGAAACAGAGACTGAAATTCTCATTGAAATTTCAATTCAAGGTATCAAAAATGCAAAACTAAAATTAATACAACTCTGTTAAGGTCAATCCGAAACCACAAAAAAATACCCCAAACTGAAGCGATGCCAGAAATCTTGTCAAAATTCCTCCAGACAGGAGAGCATGGAAGGGTATGTTTAGAGTGATGAAAGAAAATGACTATGAACCTTATCACTGCACCCCGAAACATGGGCTCTTAAAATTCATGGAGAAGGAAGAGCATATGAAGAGGGTTATAAAATGACAATAGTCATCCACTCAAGCTGTGCTGAAGATAATAATTAGAGGCAAAGTATACATAGAAAAATCAGAGAGAAATTAGCTATGACAACCCAGGAAATAAGGCATTTTACAAAAGAAATACATACATAGGAGAATTGCGGAGTACCAGATTATTTCCAACACACAAAACTAGCAAACTATCATTTCTAACTAGGAAGTAAACTACTATCCCTAATTTTACCCAGAAAAATATAAAAAAAATTATGAATAAAAGCCCTATGATCTGAAAATACCAGTAGAAAAAGATATGTCATAAGACAAACTTCAGGGGAGATTTTATGATAAACTCCTAAAGGAAACAGGAAGAAATGGAACAGAGTTGAATACAGTAAAGGGAAGGTATGTTATACTGAGGACAACATTACAGTGCAGGGAAAAAATGGACAGGATTAGCAGAAACACTAAAAGGACAGTAATATAACATGTGCTCCAGAAAAAATTTGAGTAAGAAAAAGAATTAAGGAGAAACAGGTAAGAAAGGCACTAAATTCCTTTTTAATGATGATGTGATCAGGCAAAAAACTTTCCAGAGTCACCACAGGAAAATGTTAAATTTGCTAAGTGCATCACATGTTATTGAAAAGCACAAAACTAACAAAAAAGACTATTCTATTTTTATTTATTTATTTATTTTGTATACAGTGTTCTGCTTGCATGTATCCCTTCAGGCCAGAAGAGGGCACCAGGTCTCATTACAGATGGTTGTGAGCCACCATGTGGTTGCTGGGAATTGAACTCAGGACCTCTGGAAGAACAGCTAGTGCTCTTAACCTCTGAGCCATCTCTCTAGCCCCTGACTATTGTATTTATTAATAATGAAAATGTGAAAAGTAATTTAGAAACTTAAGCCATTCAGGTTGTTTCTGAAAAATCTAGGAAAAACACAAAGAAATGTTGAATTCACTTCTATGAAGAAAATTTCAAGGCACTTAAGAGAAAAATGTAAAGTAATGGTGCACAAAGAAATGACCTTCCATGCAAACTGACTAATGAATGAAATGGTGTATGTGGTTTGTCTTAGATAGAGTTTCTATTGTTGCAATGAAACATCATGACCAAAGAGCAAGTCAGGTAGGGTAGAGTTTATTTGGTTCACATTTCAGTGTTACTGTTTATCATTGAGGGAATTCAGGACAGGAACATAAACAAGCCAGACCTAGAGTCAAGGGCTGATGCAGAAGCCATGTAGATGATATATTTGCTTATATCAAGCAGCCTTTTGTGATATATATATAATATATATATATATATATATATATATATATATATATTATATATATATCCCACTGTGAGTAAAGCCTAAGTATTTATTACATTTTATTTGCTACCATTCATTCTTTGTGTACTTTTCTGACCCACACAGCTTTGTATTCCATGAAATCCCTTTGTCATTTTTCTTACTGGCTTACTTCCCCTAGCTTGCTTAGCTTGCTTTCTTATACAAGCAAGGACCACTAATCCACCTCCCCCCCCAATGGGATGGGTCTTCTCTCATCAACCCCTAATTAAGAATTATATCACATCTTCTGAAGGCATTTTCTAAATTGAGGTTCTCTCCCCTCTGATAAGTTGTGTCAAGTTGACATAAAACTATCCTGCACATAGTTATATTATTAAGAGCAATCAGCAGAACTAATGCAATCTGATAAGCAATTACTGATATTTTCCACAAAAGTAGATATAGAAACAGTTGTATGGAAACAAGAAAATCACAAATATCGAAATTATCCTTAAAAATCTTATTGCTGGGGGCATCACACAAGATATGAACATATGTCATGATAACAGAGGCACAAGGACAAAGGGAATATGGTCCTACATATTAAAAAAAACACATAGAATATTGAACAGAACAGAGATCCCAGAAAAAAACACAAAGTAATGTAGCTTAAGTTTTCCTGCCTGGCCCACAGTCAGGACAAATTTCTCTCACCTGCCAGTCCCACAACTGCTCAGACCCGACCACGTAAACACAGAGACTTATATTGGTTACAAACTGTATGGCTGTGGCAGGCTTCTTGCTAACTGTTCTTACAGCTTAAATTAATCCATTTCCATTAATCTATACCCTGCCACATGGCTTGTGGCTTACTGGCATCTTCACATGCTGTTTGTCATCATGGTGGCTGGTAGTTTCTCTCTGACTCAGCCTTCCACTTCCCAGCTTTATTCTCCTCTCTTGTCCCGCCTATACTTCCAGCCAATGGCCAATCAGTGTTTTATTTATTGAATAATCAGAGCAACACATTTGACATACAGAACATCCCACCGCACTTCCCCTTTTCTTTTTTTTTCAAAAAGGAAAGTTTTAACCTTAACAAAGTAAAAATTACATATAATTTGGGAATTTGGGCGTAGCTTCTCTTACTACTTCCTGCTGGAGGGGGGCACTGTATCTTACGGGGACACAAAGAAAATTTTAGGATTATGGAATAGTCCATGAAGGTGTATCGTCTGAGCCAGTTGCCTTCAAAGCATTCTGGATGTTGGATCATCTGGGCCTTGGTGTCATCGGAGACCTTTCAGGGGGTCTTGGCTGGTCAAACCTGATGTATCTTAATCTGGAACAAATCCATAGCCTTTGGCTTTCTGTAGGAACAAAAACAGAGACTTTTTTCCAAAGCAACATATCCTTATATCCAAATTTTGAAGTCAAGGTACCTTTAAAATATACATTTTGGCATAACTCAACATCTTTTACGATCAAATGTTTTTCTGCAGTTAAAAATCCCAAAGACAACACAATCCAGATTCTCTGTGTAATATTCATCTTCACGTGGCTTATTTTTTTATATTAATTTTACTGTCTCTTTAAAGACTTTATTTTTTAAAACTATGTATTTGTTTATATAACTGTATATATCACCTTTTACTTTCTCTTTCAAGCCTACGTATCTTTTACACACATTGTAAACTATTCCATCTGAATCTGTCTTATTGTGAATCTATTGCTTTAAACTGCAGCAGCTGTGGCTGCTGGCTCCGCCCACCTCAGCTTCCCAACATGGTTATGCTTACCACCAGCTCTGGGAGCTATCCTGGGTCTATGCTTTTATCCAAGCAGCGTGTAACCCAGAAACTTCTTTTTTTGTTTTGTATTAGCAAAGGCTAAATCCACCACGCAGCTTAATGTGCCACTTGCAGAGGCCTCATTCCTGCCATACTGCAGATCGAGTGCACATGCTAGGAACCCGCCAGTAGCTCAAACCGGCAGCTGCCGCTCATTTGAGAAAGACAATTAGGAAGCTGTTTTTAGCTCCGTTTTAGAATCTTTTTTCTCAGTTTTTAGGTGGAAACTCTTGCCCCCATGTTGGGCGCCATTTGTAGCTAAAGTTTTCCTGTCTGGCCCACAGTCAGGACAAATCTCTCTCACCTGCCAGTCCCACAGCTGCTCAGACCCGACCATGTAAACACAGAGACTTATATTGGTTACAAACTGTATGGCCATGGCAGGCTTCTTGCTAACTGTTCTTAAAGCTTAAATTAATCCATTTCTATAAATCTATACCCTGCCACATGGCTCGTGGCTTACCGGCATCTTCACATGCTGTTTGTCATCATGGTGGCTGGCAGTGTCTCTCTCACTCAGCCTTCCACTTCCCAGCTTTATTCTGCTCTCTTGTCCCGCCTATACTTCCTGCCTAGCTAATGGCCAATCAGTGTTTTACTTATTGACCAATCAGAGCAACACATTTGACATACAGAACATTCCACAGCAAAGTAAGCCAAATACATCAAAAACCAACCCAGGAAGAGAGAGAGAGCGCACTGAACATTCAGTGCTGGGCAAAATGATTATCCATGTGTAGACAAGTGATATTAGGTCCATCTCTCTCACCCTACAAAAAAGAAAACACTAACTAGAACAAGGAACTGCCCAGAAAACTTGAAATTCCAAAGTGCTAGAGGAAAGCATGATTAAATACTTCATTATTTAGAAATAAGCAAACACAATCTGAAAGAGATTCCAGGAACACAGAAAATAACCAAGAAAAATGACAAGGGGATTTCATGGAATACAAAGCTGTGTGGGTCCGAAAAGTACACAAAGAATGAATGGTAGCAAATAAAATGTAATAAATACTTAGGCTTTACTCACAGTGGGCCATATATATTATATATAAAACACAAAAGGCCGCTTGATATAAGCAAATGATGTTCCAACTATCTATACAAAGGAGCTTGGGATAGGAACAAGAGCTTTCAATGGAGTTAAGAATAGAGAGCACACTGGGTATTGCAAGATTGACAGCAGTTGTTTAATGAAAGGCAGGTGATAATAGTTACCCTCATGAAAGAAGGTTTAGAGGAAGAAGAGTCCCAAAAGCATGAATGAGGAACTTGGCACTGTGTTCTTTATATAGTATCATGAGGTAAGAGTGAAGTTTTAAATGATAGCCTCACAAGCTCACAGCTCAGGAAAAGAATGGCTTCCATACTGATAGAAGAAGGCAGGGGAAGATGTTATTTTCTCAAAATAAACAGAAAATTATCTCCAATATAAACACAGTCACATTCCCAAATCAGTCACTTTCTGACAAAAGGTTTGAGGGGCTCCAAAATTTTTCACCATTGCACATTGCTATACAGCAGTTGTAGGTTAGTAGAAAATACCTAGTGTTATGGAGTTTGTGATCCCAGAGAAAAGACACTTTCAATCCAATTATACTTAAAAGATTTATTGATTAGGTAGCATGGGCATGTTCCTAACTAGCTCAAATAATTTAAATTAACCTGTTTGGGACATTTTGATTACACCGTGTGAAACTCCCAAGACTGCCAATAAAGTTGACCTTGAATCAATCAGGGTGTGGACTTAGCAATGCGCTGACCAGAATTAACCATAGAGGTTTTGTTGGACTCAGATTAGGATAGAGAGACACAGGAAGGAATAGAGGGGGCTTGGAAAGGTTCATGGCCTTTTCCATATGGGAAGCATGGAGAGGCAAGTTTCTCCATTACTCTGTAGATCTATCATCAATCTTTTATCCCAATATCTGACACTTGAGTTTTATTAAATAATAGAACAATAAAAAAATCACTTTATTAATCTATTTGTATTAGTCTACATTCTGCCATTTGGTTCATTACCTCTCCTCCATATTGTGTTCCTGATTCCTCCATGACTCGCTGGTGAATTCTGTGTGCCACTGATTTCTCCCAGAATTCCTCTATCTGGAAACCACATTTCATTTCATTTTAGCTGGTAGACACAGTACATGTATTTACCATGTGTGTCATACTGTCTTGGAGGACTACATGTCTATCTGCCAAATATTATGGTTTTTTTCTCAAAATGATAATAAATTTGTCATCCAGTTTAGATGACAAACTAGTTAGAGTCATTCTTACCATCATCTAAGAAGGCTTTACATGGTTCACTTGGGTAAAATGTATCTTTCCAATTTACTCCTCCTTTCAATGTGGACCTGTTTTCTAAGTTGCATGCACACTTTTGTGTGAGAATACTGATCCCTTGAAATCCACGTGAATGCACTTATAGGTAGAATATTATAATTTAAGCCGTATGTCTTTAAATGGGATGTCTGTATGCTAAATGTTAAAATTAAGTGTTTTTCAACTTTCCTAAAGCTGTGAGCCTTTAAAACAGTTCTGTGTACTCATATGTGGATGTATCTGCATGTGAGCAGACCTGCCTGGAGATGGATAGAGGAGCAGTCCCTCAGTTCCTAAGATCATCAGAAATGTGTTTTCCAATAGTCTTAGGTGACTCCTGATTAAGGGTAGTTTGAACCTCCAAGGGTCTCTACCCACAGGTTGAGAACCATTGTCTCAGACAATGTTCAGACATAATCATCAAGGAGAATGCATGGCAGAAACTACATGATGGCTGCTGGAGAGAAGAGACTTCATTCTCAGGGTATGCCCTTGGAATTAATCACTGATTATGCCAGATCCTTCAGAATCCTATCACCTATCTTCCTAAACATGGATAGAGCTGTGTCTTGGTATTTTTCCAGGCAGTTTTCAGGTTCCCAATTAGTAATATATATGACTACAGTGATGCCCTTCACCTCCTGGTTGTTATAGATTTCCTCTCTGGCAATCAACTTTGTAGTTCCATATGTAAGTAAGAATGCGTGACATGGGTCTCCTGGCATAGATACATATAAATACACATATGTGAATATAAACACATACATACATGTTAATGCATATATCAAAATTAAGGACTCATTGTGAATGTTGCAATACTATTACTACATGTATTCATGACTATGGCGTAAGTATATACATAGCACTTTGTTACACTGACATTACATTTAATCTAATATGAAATACTTTTCTTGATATTTAATGGTTTTAATTGATATTTAATCTTGATGCTTGGATGGTTTCTTTCCTTGCTACTGCTCAAGTACTTTAGAGTCACAATGGGAGAGAAGATGTCATTTAATACTACCATCATTCTACCTGATCATCCTGGTCATTGTGTGAACTGAGGCTATGTTTACCTCTCATGATTTGGGGGAACTGTTCTAACCTTTTTCCATCATATAGAAATAACACACAGCTCCAAATTTCTTATGATCAAATTAAACAGTAGTCAAAAAACTGTTCAAAGGACCTAGATAAATAAAATACTAAAATCTCTCAAATCAATGATGGGTATTTACCACACTAAGAATTCAAAAGAGGTGGGTGGTGGTGGCACACACCTTTAATCCCAGCACTCAGGAGGCAGAGCCAGGCAGATCTCTGTGAGTTCGAGGCCAGCCTGGGCTACAGAGTGAGTTCCAGGTACTCAATGAGCTAAATGAGATGAATGAGAACTAAATGAAGGATAGTAACAATGTCATCAAGAATATTAAGACAATAAACAGAAAACCAGCTTGTAGTGCTTACATCTACAAATATGAGGCAATAGTTGAAAATTATCAACTTTGATGAAGGAAACAGACATAATTCATTTTTCACCGACCCTATGCAGCAGACATCAAAGGACACAAGGATTGAGAATTCATTGTTTTAAAACTAACAAAAGAAGGAAATTATGAGTAGCAATAGAATCAGGATGTGTCGTTCTGAAGGTGGTTCCATGAGACAATCAGTGGAATTCACAGGATCAACATGTGACTTAAGGGGGAATCAATTCACAACCCTCAATTCAACTTATTTCCTGACCAAATGCTGAATCCTGTTGGGCCATCGAACCCATTTAGAAAGGAAGAAATTGTCCCTTCTCTATCACATCTGATTGATTACTCTGGAAGTTTTGGAGAGTCAGTGCCCAGGGTAGAAATTAATGATATAGAGACTCAAAGGATTTAGAAAGGGAGAAATTGGCCCTTCTCTATCACATCTGGAGGTTTGGAGAGTCAGTACCCAGGGTAGAAATTAATGATATAGAGACTCAAAGGATAGACAGAGTCAATGTACAGACTTCTTGCAGTAAAGAGACACAGATAGTGACAAACTCTTCTTCACCAATTCAAATAAGAGACTGAATCTCAAAAAGTAATATTATTAGATCTGAAAAAGCGATACTACAATATATGTCAATGACATTAATGTTACCTTATGGAGTACTGTGGAAATTGATACACTATTAATGAGAATTCAAGAAGAAAAAGATGATTTCCTAGAAACAAGTGAACAATTCAAACTCCTATGTCATAAAACTAGGCCAAACAATATGGAAGTAATGAAACCGATGCAGTCAGAATTTCCTTTAACAGTGCCTCAGGACTGGACAGATTCAGCACTGAATTCTTTGAAAGGCCACTAGCCCACTGGAACATGTGGTTCTGGAAAGTCTTGCCCTTCTCTCCCATTCCCTCTGCCTTGCTTAATCGCCTCATCCCAACATGGGGGTTTTCCCCTTTACCTTTATAAACTGTCATTTGCTTTTGTGCCAGATCTCTAATCCCTGTATCCAGCGGCAGTGTTCTGTCCCTCCAGGACAAATATCCCTCTTCCCTTTCCCTTGTCCCTTTCCCCTTCTCCTTTATCTCCTTTACCCCTGCATGCTAGCCCATTCTAACACATAGTTCCCCTTCTTTCCTTCTTAAGAATTCCACCTGCAAGGTCATTTGCTCTTGTTTTCCTGCTGAGTCAGAAAGCAGTCATTTTAACGTTTCTTTCCTGCTTAATAAAAGATCTCTCTGTGAAGAGTTGTTTTGGTATGGATTGTGAATAATCCAGGGTCCCAGATGGATTCCCCACTGTGAGTGGGTCCCCCCTTTCTCTAATTCCTTTACAAATTCCTATACTAATGCCCCACAGAAAAATATAGCTGAAAACTGAAAGAAAATTAATGCTAGACCATCATCACAAAAAGCTAGCCTTACTTTTATACAAAAGAGCAAATGAGGATGAAAAACATCTTTAAAGGAAAACTTATAACCCTCACAGCCTGCTCCACTGACAGTCCATTGGCCCATAGCTGCCTTCCCAGTCAATGTAGACAGCTAAAACACAAAACTTTCCAATCACATTAGACAAGAACAGAGATTATGGTCTTTGACTCTTTATTTTTTGAAAATGTTTAGCATGATGTAAAAAGCCTGGTTGATCCCTTCTGAATTTTAACTTACATTTTGATTGGTGGGGTGGTACTTTTAAACTTCCTCCTTTTAAGTGTCTCTTACAGGACATCTGGCAACAAAGGGTGGCCACTAAGGTGACTCTACAGGTGTTAATGGCTCTTAGATATCTGACTCATAGCTCTCCACAGGATGTTATGCATGCCTGGCTTTCTGAAATTCACAGGCCATTGCCTGTCCCTCCACACCCAGGGTGACTCCCCAGGGATGAATGATCTTCAAGGGCTGATAGTCAGGTTAAGAACCCTTTGGCAAGCCAACCTAAGACAGGTATAGTCCAATTGCTGAGACCCCTGAGGTGGGGCAAACAAGTTCAGAGCATACTACTCTGACTCCCACTGAGCATCCACATGATAAAATAAAATGGTGGGTATGTAGTAGGACAGGCACATAAAACAATAAAAACCCAGAGACAGATATTAGGATGAAAGCTTAAAAATAAATCAGAGAATCAAGGCAGTTACAATCACTTTCACATATTAGAGGTGAGTGTGTGTGTGTGTGGGGATCCGGTCTCCACCCGCCTTATATTCCAGTCTCTACCTCCCTAGTGCTGGGATTAAAGGCATGAGCCTCCACTACCATGCTCTTATGGGTAACTAGTGGCTAGCTCCACCATTTGATCTCCAGGCAAGCTTTTATTTGTCAGAACCAAGAAAATATAATACAACACCCCAAGGCTTTACATTCTATCTGTGTGGAGCACATTTACCTGAATGAAGTACTATTATAGTAGTAAACCTGGAGCAGTGAGCAAAAAGTCTTCCCTGCTTTAGTGATGTAAATGCTTTCTGGTATCTATTATCTGTTGTACATCAAGTTTGGAGGAACAGTTGCTTAAGCACATGTTTAATGAGACACTTTTCCTGGGGAAATGCACTATACCTGTGAAGCTACTTATCCCAACAGGGAACTAAAAAGAGAACCAAGTCAACCCTGTTAAACCCAAGAGCTTTATTAGGGTTAGTTTGAGAAATAGGGTCAAGTAGTTGCTTACTGGAGCAGAGGGGACTCAAAGACAGTTTTTATCATGAAGCTCCAAACCAGCATGTTATACAGCATATACATATATAACAATGGGAGCACACTGCACACCTGTAGGCATATCAACTAGATAAAAAGCATCCTATCTTGGTGGATCATTTTGTCAAAACCTTTTCAAGGACTAGGATCTGAATTTCTTCATTTGATTTAAGCATACTGAAATCTGTCAGTTTCAGGGATCGCTTGAAAACCTTTTGAGGTTTTCTGACTCAGTTCCTATACAACACACATGCCTGCAGTCACCAGGAAATGGTTACTTAACAGCACATTCTCCAGGTTTCTGTGTTGTATCTTCATTATGAAGCATTTAAGGTTGCATAGGTATAAAAAGTTCTAATGAAAATTTTCCTACACTTTAACATCTTTAGAATTTCCCTCAGTATAAATTCTGGATATATTCTAAGATTTGAATGTTACTGAAAGCTTTCATAATTTTATGTTGACAGACTTGAGACAATAAAGGTTTTTTCTCACATAGTCATGGTAAACTTTCTCACCTGTATAAACACTTTGGTGTATTCTCAGGATGATTTTGTGGCAGATTTCTTGCATTTAATACATTGGTAAGGTTTCTCTTGTGTATGAACATTCTAATTTCTTCTAAGAGATGGGGGCACATGTAAAAGATTTTTCACATATAATTCATATGTAGGGTTTCTCTACTTGTATGGATTTGCTGATGTTTTCTATGGTCTGAGCAACTGATGAAGGCTCTGTCACATTCATGACATTGGTTAAGGTTTCTCTCTTGTATAGATTATCTACTGAAGTCTCAAATGGCCTTTTCTTGCTAAAGGATTTGTCACATTCAGTGACTTACTAGATTTCTCTAATAAGTTCTAAGATAGCTTTTGAGGTGAACTCACATTGATGGCATTTGGAAAATTTCTCTCCTGTATGAATTATCTGATGAGTTCTAAGTTTGCCTTTATAGATAAGGATTTGTCACATTTGCTGCATTGTAAGGTTTATCTTCTGCATGAATTTTAAGATGAATTCTACAGTAGTTTTCATAAAGGATTTGTCACCTTCACTGCCTTTCTAAGGTTTCCTTCCTGCATGAATTCTCTGATGAAGTCTAAGATGTGAGGCAGTGGTAAAGGACTTATCACATTCATTGCATTTGTAAGGTTTCTCCCCGGTATGAATTCTCTGATGTCTTCTACATTCTGTGCAACTGACAAAGGATTTCTCACATTCACTGCATTTGTAAGGTTTCTCTCCTGTATGAATTCTCTGATGAGTTCTAAGATGTGAGGCAGTTGTAAAGGATTTTTCACATTCAATACACTTGTAAGGTTTCTCTCCTGTATGAATTCTCTGATGAGTATGGAAACTGCCTATATGGGTAAAGGATTTATCACATTCCCTGCATTTGTAAGGTTTTTCTCCTGTATGCATTCTCTGATGAGTTCTAAGATGGTCTTTCCGAGTAAAGGATTTGTCACATTCACTACATTTGTAAGGTTTGTCTCCTCTATGAATTTTCTGATGAATACTAAGACTAAATGTCCTGATAAAGGATTTGTCACATTCACTGCATTTGTAAGGTTTCTCTCCTGTATGAATTCTCTGATGAATTCTAAAATAGCTTTTCAGGGTAAAGGATTTATCACATTCCCTGCATTTGTAAGGTTTCTCTCCTGTATGCATTCTCTGATGAGTTCTAAGATGGTCTTTCCGAGTAAAGGATTTGTCACATTCACTACATTTGTAAGGTTTGTCTCCTCTATGAATTTTCTGATGAGTAGTAAGACTGAATATTGAGATAAAGGATTTGTCACATTCACTGCATTTGTAAGGTTTCTCTCCTGTATGCATTCTCTGATGTATACTAAGACTGCTTCTATGTGTAAAGGATTTATCACATTCACTGCATTTGTAAGGTTTTTGTCCCGTATGAATTCTCTCATGTCTTTTGTGGTCTGTGCCACTTGTAAAGGATTTGTCACATTGACTGCATTTGTAGGGCTTCTCTCCTGTATGAATTCTCTGATGAGTTCTAAGATGTGAGGAAGTGGTAAAGGATTTGTCACATTCAACACATTTGTAAGGTTTCGCTCCTGTATGCATTCTCTGATGAATATTAAGACTGCCTCTCTCGTTAAAAGATTTACCACATTCACTGCATTTGTATGGTTTCTCTCCTGTATGAATTCTCTGATGATATGTAAGATGGATTCTCCGGATGAAAGATTTGTCACATTCAATACATTTGTAAGGTCTCTCTCCTGTATGAATTCTCTGATGAGTATTAAAATTACCTCTATGGGTAAAGGATTTATCGCATTCACTACATTTGTAAAGTTTCACTCCTGTATGCATTCTCTGATGTATTCTATGTTCTGTGCAACTGATAAAGGATTTATCACATTCATTGCATTTGTAAGGTTTCTCTCCTGTATGCATTCTCTGATGAGTTCTAAGACGGTCTTTACGAGTAAAGGATTCATCACATTCACTGCATCTGTAAGGTTTCTCTTCTGAATGAATTCTCTGATGAGTTCTAAGATTGCTTTTCAGGGTAAAGGATTTGTCACATTCATTGCATTTATAAGGTTTTTCTCCTGTATGAATTTTCTGATGTCTTCTAAGACGGTCTTTCCGAGTAAAGGACTTATCACATTCCCTGCATTTGTAAGGTTTCTCTCCTGTATGCATTCTCTGATGAGTTCTAAGATGCGAGGTAGTGGTAAAGGATTTATCACATTCAATACATTTATAAGGTTTCTGTCTGGTATGATTTCTCTGATGAGTTCTAAGATTCATTTTCTGGGTAAAGAATTTATCATATTCACCAGGTGCACAAATTTTCTGATGCAAATGTCTTTTAAATTCTGAAGTCTGGTAGAAGAACTTAGAACAGTCTGTACATTTGTAAGATTTTTCTCCACAATGGAATTTGCAATGTAGTTTGAGTTGTGACAAACGTGTAAAGGATTTACTACATTTTGTACATTTATAGGGTTTCTGTCTAGTATGAGTTCTATGATGTCTCTTAAGGCTTGAGTCTGTCTTGAAACAGTTTCTACCTTTCCTGCTTTGGTATGCTTTCTTTCCACTATTGGTTCCTTTCAGTGAGAGTTTATGTTGACAGTCAAAAGATTTATCAAGCTCTGTATTTTTGTGTTCTTTCTGGACTCTTTGATTTTGACCTGGAAAATTGCCACAAGGAGGGAAAACAGGAATTAAAGCATGAGTAAGAGATTTAATGACTGATAACCTTAAGTTTTTCTATTACATATAAACTTCCAATTTTCAGGGATAGAGCTCTCACCAGAGGTCTATTCTGTCTCACATCATTAAATAGATGCTCAGAAGAAACTCCAGTCTGACCTATGTCAAACCAAAAGGACCGACTATGGCTTTCTCCTTCTTTATCTAAACTGTGTACCTTGCAGAACATAGGACAAATAAGTGACCAAGCAATAATCAGGGAAGTACTTTGAAAGATCATATAAATAATGTTTATCTATTTTCCTGTATACATTTTTGAGACAGCCACACTGGATCACTTTGGTCAGCTAGGAACACATATGGTAACCAAGGTAGGGATAGAACACAACATATAGTTTTGTTTCTGCATCCATACTGCTAGGATTAAAATCATCCCTTCTCGGGGCTAAACATAAAGAACACATATCAAAAACTGAATAAATAAATGAAGCAAACAAAAACCCATGCTAACTACCAACAGATCAATTTTCACTTAAAACCTACTAAACTGTAAAAATCAGAAATAGGGGAGTAATTAAATCCAATAGTATAGTCACAATAATCCAATTATTGAGTGTACTGCAATTTACTTCATGCTCTGAATATTCAGTTTCCTTTGAACTTTGAAGTTTTCTTTAAAAACTAGAAGGGAGAGCTGGAGAGATCACGTAGAATATAGCACTATTTATGCTCCTACAGAACAGAGAAAAATGTACAGGAGGCACCATGAAAAAGCTATGTTGATAACCAGAATTTTCCTTATTTTTGGGAGTTTCTAGACAGTTCAGAGAGATTACATATAAACAAAGATTGTAAATAAAAATGATTGAATCAGGAATTCTAGAGAAGAGCATTCTTACCTACAAAGACTAGATTGTTGTAATTCTCCAACATTACATCCATGTACAATGCCCTCTGAGCACAATCTAGACATTCCCATTCCTCCTTGGAGAGATCCACAGTCACATCCCTGAATGTTAACAGACACTGCAAGAGAAAAATACCAATATACCATTGCTGCTGTACAAAATGCATTCCTAAATAAAAGACCCTAAAGAATTAGAGACACATCTGTGACATAGATGAGGCATGGCAGTTGTTCAAAGACAAAGTTTTCTGCAGGGCTACAGAACTGTGATAGAAGTTATCACTGCTGCCCTTTAATAGACAATGCAATGAACAACTTACTACATTGCTTACATTCATTCTTTTTTTGTTTTTGTTTTTGTTTTTTTGAGACAGGGTTTCTCTGTGTAGTTTTGGTGCCTGTCCTGGATCTCGCTCTGTAGACCAGTCTGGCCTCGAACTCACAGAGATCCTCCTGCCTCTGCCTCCCAAGTGCTGGGATTAAAGGCGTGCGCCACCACCGCCCAGCCCTTACATTCATTCTTAAGGTCTCTCTCCTGCATGAATTTGCTGATGTTTTCTAAGATGTGAACAGCAGATAAAGGATTTGCCACAACCAGTACATTTGAAAATGGTCTCTGCTATTTGGATTCTGTAATGATTTTTAGTCCTTTAAAATGTAGTTGGGTTCCCAGAGCCCTGGTGGTACTACACAACAGATTTTTAACAGCAATTCCATGAGATCCCAAGCTCACTTTTGAACTATACAGACTGGATATAGCACACACTAATATTTTCAGGCAATTATACCCACATACATAAACTAAAACTGAAATTTAATTATACTAAAAGAGTAAAATGGCCACAGGCTGTACTGTATTTTCTATCTCTATGAAGAGGACATTAATAGTATCACAATCGGCAAACTTTTAGGGAATATAACACACATGTGAGGTCCACATGCAGAAATTTACCTTTATGAAGTATGTATGTGTTAATATCAAATAAGATTCCCTGGGTCAGTCTCAGATGGTTAACTTATGATTAGCTAAACTGAACTGTGCTTCCAAATTCTATAATCCAACTCAACTACAGACACTCTATTGATCCTATGTGTAGCTGGGCCACACCATACTATATTCTAACATGTTCAGTTGAGATCCTGAGACCTAGGTGCAATGCTGCAACCTTTCTAAAACCAAGATAGAGAATTTGGAATGCATAATCCATATAAGAATAAAAATAGTGTTTTCTTTAAATAGTAAGGCGTGTAACATCAGCGTATACATCTAATGTTCCAAACAACACACAGACTCAAATATTTGGTGCAGTTATTTTATGACAAAATTTTCATAACCAAGAAGTAAATAGAAAAGTCAGAAATAGACAGAATATTATGTAAATTTTTCTAATAGTTGACATAACAGTGCGGATAATAACAATTTCATGAATTCTATATGGTGTTTCACTACAGAACAGTTAGAAATATTGTATAAAAAGTGGAATGTGTGTGACAATGCATCCAGATCAAGTAGAAAGTCTACTCTGATTGAAACAAATGTATTAAGTTTTGTGAGAATCACACTAATTCTTAATTAATTTTTAACTCATGAGATTGGATCAATGGAAAACTCAAATCTTTCATTTCAACTTTATTCTTTGCTTCAGTATTTGAGCTTATCATCTAACAGGATTTTAGGTTACATAGTTAAGTGTCATTTTTAATTCTTCCTTCCTTTCTCAAAAGCTAAAAGATGCAAGGTTCTACATTATCTGCCTCACAAATATACAACAGGAATGTAAACCATGGGGTTAGAGAAATGGCTCAGAGGTAAAGGCACTTGCTATTCCTGCAGAGAAATATAATTTAATTTTCTCTACACACATGGCAGTTCATTACAGTGTTTGTCTCCAGTGCAAAGGCATTGTTTCGTATTGAACTCAGGGATGCAGGTGAATAATGCATCATGCTATGAGCATAAAAATATGGAGAACACATATATACTTAAATAAAATGTTATTCCTTTGCTGTGGATATTGCTCTGTATAAATAAACACTGATTGGCCAGTAGCCAGACAGGAAGTATAGGTGGAACTAACAAAGAGAACTGAGGGAACAGGAAGGCAGAGGGAGAGACTGCCTGGAGCAGCAGCCAGGACAAGCAAGATGTAAGGTACCAGTAAGCCATGAGCCATGTGGCAAAGTATCGATTAATAGAAATGGGCTAAATATAAGAGTAAGAGCTAGACAATGATAGGCCTGAGCTAATGGCCAAGCAGTTTAAATAATGTAAGCGTCTGTGTGTTTATTTTGTAAGTGGGCTCTGGGACTGTCAGGACTTGGTGGGACCCGGACAGAAAAGCTCACCAGCTACAAATGGCGCCCAACGTGTTGGCAAGAGTTTCCACCTAAAACCTGAGTAAAAAGATACTAAAACAGAGCTAAAAACAGTTCCTAGTTGTCTCTTTCAAGTTAGCGGCAGCCTGCGTGTTTGACCTGCTATCTACTATGGCGGGTTCCTGGCGTGCGCGCTGGACCTGCTCTATAGCGGGAATGAGGCACCTTAAGCTGCATGGTGGATTTAGCCTTTGCTAGTACAAAACAAAAAGGTTTCTGGGCTACACGCTGCTACACATAGACCCACTATTTCTGAGAGTTGATGGCTCCCAGAGCTGGCGGAAAACGTACCACTGCCATGTTGGGAAGCTGAAGTGGGCAGAGCCAGCAGCCACAGCACCGTTTCAGTCTTAGAATGCTGCAGTTTAAAGCAATAGGTTCACAATAAGACTGATTCAGATGGAATAGTTTACAATGTATGTAAAAATGTACGTAGGCTTGAAAGAGAGACAACAAAAAATATATACAGTTATATAAACAAATAGTTTTTAAAAACAAAGTCTTTAAAAAAAACAGTAAAGGTAATAAGTCACGTAAAGATGGCTAACACACAGAGAATCTGGATTATGTTGTCTTTGATATTCGTAACTGAAGAAAAACATTTGATTGTAAAAGCTGTTGAGTTATGCCAAAATGTGTACTTTAAAGGTACCTTGGCTTCAAAATTTGGATGTAAGGATATGTTGCTTTGGAAAGGAGGCTCTGCTTTTGTTTTCATAGAAAGCCAGAGGCTATGGATTTCTTCCAGATTAAGATACATCAGGTTTGACCAGCCAAGACCCCCTGAAAGGTCTCCGATGACACCATGGCCCAGATGATCCAACATCCAGAATGGTTTGAAGGCAACTGGCTCAGACAATACACCCTCATGGACTACTCCATAATCCTAAAATTTTCTTTGTGTCCCCATAAGATACATTGCCCCCTTTCAGCAGGAATTAGTAAGAGAAGCTACACCCAAATTCCCAAATATACCAAGCTGACTTTGGAGATGGAATCGGCTCACGACCTCTCTAAACCCAGACATATTCCTAAAATAAAAGGTTAAAAGATTCTTTTGTCCCATATCAAAAGAGCCCTCTGGTATGGGACAGAAAAAAACCAATATTTTTATTTAAAACAGGTTGACTATAAATACAATCTCTTTCTAAAGAAACGGGGATATGATATAAATATATAGGATATAGATATGATAGGATAAAAGGGTAGATTAATAAACCTACTATTAAAAAACAACAACTTGTTTAAAATGTTTTACATTTGGTATAGATTTTAGTTTATGTTTAAAATGTTTTACATTGGTATAGATTTTAGTTTATTGATACAAGTTTAAACTTAATGTTATACTGTATATATATTTCTATTGTCATTTGAGGTATTATGTTTATATAACTTATTTAGATTAGAATGGATAATTAAGTAGATTAATATTTAGTCATCTATGATAATCATACTTATGGCCATGTTAGTTAAGTCTTCTAGGTATACATAGATATATTTCAGATAGATAAGTAATCTTCAAATACTTCAAAGACCTACAGAATGAGGCATTTAAAATATTTTTAAAAATTTAGACTTTCTGGACAGTGAGACATGTCTGCTCCTGGCAGCACTGGATTTACTTCAGAGAGGAGGATGGGCATCGAAGACACTCTATATGGAGTTTATCTTCTTCTTGGCAAAAATAGCCATTTGGACAAGAAACTGTTCTTGCCTAGACTGCTTGATCGATTGGATATGCAGGACCCATGAAAAGGTGACCACTAAACTTTGCTTGACAAAATGGTCCTTTAGGTGCCTGCTTCACAAAAAAAACTGCCAGACATTCTACAGGACACACAAAAAAATAACTGAGAGACTCTAGCCCTGAGGGCTAAAGATAGATGCCCCAACTTTACAGGGGAACTTTGGATGACTGTCCAGGCTGCCAGCTGACTCTGTCTACCATACAAGACTCCTGAAAGTTGCTTGCATCCTTCTCCCATTTCTCAGGTAGTATTATATCCTTCTGAGGTCTTTGATGTGGTTAAAGACTAAATACTTAAAATTTTCCTTAGTTATGATAAAAGGTAAGTTAGATATAAAACCTTAAACTCACAAATATAAGATAGATAGGATATCTTCTTTAATATTGTAACTGTAATTCTTGCTCGATAATTATTTTGTTATATGTAATTTTACTATGTTAAAGTTAAAACCTTCCTTTTTGAAAAAGAAGAAAAGGGGAAGTGCTGTGGATATCGCTCTGTATAAATGAATATTGACTGGCCAGTAGCCAGACAGGAAGTATAGGTGGGACTAGCAGAGAGGAGAATTGAGGGAACAGGAAGGCAGAGGGAGAGACTGCCTGGAGCAGCAGCCAGGACAAGCAAGATGTAAGGTACCAGTAAGCCATGAGCCATGTGGCAAAGTATCGATTAATAGAAATGGGCTAAATATAAGAGTAAGAGCTAGACAATGATAGGCCTGAGCTAATGGCCAAGCAGTTTAAATAATGTAAGCGTCTGTGTGTTTATTTTATAAGTGGGCTCTGGGACTGGCAGGACTTGGCGGGACCTGGAGATAAAAGCTCTCCAGCTACATTCCTTCCATCATCCATACTCTCTAGGGTGCTGATATATTTACTATTGGGATTCAAGACAGCAAATCTCTTCCAATTCTATTTTCCATAAATTGCTCAGTGATATCACCAAAAAAGTCCATGTATTTGCATGTCCACATTCATAAGCCTGGTTCTGGAAATGTGACCTGGCACATGAGAACTTCCTTCCTATGTAGATACTGGCTATCAATATATTCTTTGAATACCATTTGCAATATATTCTCTTTCACAATGTCATGTCTTCAGTCTATGAAAATTTATGTCCTCAAAGTAAAACATGGAATGAAAATATAAGGAGAAAGGGCTGTGCTATGTATGTGAAAGATCTACAGACTTACTCCTGATTACTAGAGAAGAAAAAAAAAGATGAATCATAAAAACAAACACTTTAGATAACATTACCAGAGGTAGAGAATTAAAGTCTTCAATGGTTTCGATAATAAAAACAAACTTCAGGCCGGGCGGTGGTGGCGCACGCCTTTAATCCCAGCACTCGGGAGGCAGAGCCAGGCGGATCTCTGTGAGTTCGAGGCCAGCCTGGTCTCCAAAGCGAGTTCCAGGAAAGGCGCAAAGCTACACAGAGAAACCCTGTCTCGAAAAACCAAAAAAAAAAAAAAAAAAAAAAAACAAACTTCAAAAAATGTAAACATGACACTGACCTTGGGAGCATTTCCCAGAGAAGCATTCATTGTTCTTGTTGTTCTTCTCTGAGTTTCTATTTCTTGACCAAAATCTGGAATTCTTGCTGAAATTTCACATCAAGGTATCAAAAATACAAAGTTAAAATTAAATCAACTCTGTTCTGAACAATGCAAAACCACATTAAAAGACCCCCAAATCAAAATGATACCAGAAATCTGTTCACATTCCTATACACAGGAGAACACAGAGGATATATTTAGAACTCACAGAGATCCAGACAGGTCTCTGCCTTCGGAATGCTAGGATTAAAGGTGTGTGTGTGCCAGCCGGGCGGTGGTGGCGCACGCCTTTAATCCCAGCACTCGGGAGGCAGAGCCAGGCGGATCTCTGTGAGTTCGAGGCCAGTCTGGGCTACCAAGTGAGTCCCAGGAAAGGCGCAAAGCTACACAGAGAAACCCTGTCTCGAAAAACCAAAAAAAAAAAAAAAAAAAAAAAAAAAAAGGTGGGTGTGCCACCATTTTCTGGCCTCTATATCTAGTGGCTGTTCTGTTCTCTAACCCCAGATAAGTTTATTAAGGTGCACAATATATTGGGGAACACAATATCACATTATGTAAAGAAATTGACAAATAGAGAGCTGTGGGGTACTAAACTATATCCAACACACAAAACCTGTAAACAACAATTTCTACCTAGAAGGAAGTACATTAATACTAGCAATTTTACCACCAAGAATACTAGAAATAAAGAAAGAAAAAAGGAAGGAAGGAAAAAAGGGAGGAAGGAACTCACATAATACCAAATCCCTGTGATAAGAAATTCCCAGTAGAAAACTAAAATGTCATTAGACAAACTTCAACAGATTTTACAATAAACTTCTAAAGAAAACAGGAAGAAATGGGACACAGCTCACTACAGTAATGGGCAGGTGTGTCACACCAAGACCAAGAGTAAAGAGAAAAGAAGAACAGCATTAGCAGGAAAATTATAAGGAGAGGAAGATGCAGACTCCTGATTCTTATTGAATCCAGCGCCATAAGAGTGAGCTAAAGAAATTTGAATAACAAAAACAAATTAAGGAGAAATGGGTAGGAAAGAAAGGCACCAAGGGCCTTTTTGATGATGTGATCATACATACTTCTCCCTACACTGTGTATTTCTGGTAAATAAAACAAGCTCTCATAGTTCAGTCTTTGTTACATATAATAGTGAGAAACTTAGAAGCCAGTTCTCTATAATTAGCTTACTTACAAGGCAATTTGGCCAGACCAGGAGTCTCTGTGGATAGATCACAAACAAGACTTTCACAGTTAAACTCAAAGATGAAATTACAAAGTGTCTGACTTTGTTAAATCAAGGTCCAACAGATACTGAATTGCCCTGTGCTTCCACCAATGGCAGCTGATAACAAGACTCACAGTGTTTATCTGCTCTGACCCCTTAGTAGTTAACATTTTATATGATACAAGATATCAGGCTCAGTTAACTACATGTCTATGTTTAAGTCCTGATATTTACATGATTAACAGGAAAAAGCTGTTAACCGGCTAACCATGTGAGAGAAAAAAAGGCTACGTAGATGGTCAGAACTACAGGGAGATGGCCTGGCTTCATAGCACTGCACAAAAAAGTTACAAGGTTCCCTCCATGCTCTGGCTACAGGACAGAAAACATTTTTTTTTTTTTAAATCTGACACTGTTGGTTTTTTTTTTTTTTCTGCTAGCCAGCCTTTGACGAAAGCACTGATGTGAATCAAAGCTGCTCGCTTCCCCATCTGATTTACACAGGTGGCTATGGTTACCCACAGACACCATTCCACCCATTGGTTACTTGCATAAGGCTCCCAGCTGTTCTCTCCTGCTGGAAGCTGTCAAGAGAAACTGACAGTTTTGCCACATAATATTAGCCTATAATGTTAAATACACTTAAGAAATGTGTTAAATACACTTAAGATATCCCAGCACTTAGGAGGTTGAGTGGGGAGGTTGTATTGTGAATTCAAAATCAGCCTATGTAGTGAAATCCTGTCTCAAAACCATAGCAACAATAGTAATGGTTTGCTTGGAATTTCTACTTGCTAGATTCACTGGAAGCCTAAATGAGGGAGGACTGTCTAGATCAGGTTGGCTTATGGGTATGTCTGGGGGGGATTTGTTTTGATTATTGATGTAGGAAGACCTAGCCCATTGTGGGCAACACCATTCCCTAGGCAGGGGCTCCTGAACTATAGAAAACATGGGAAAACTAGACGCAAGAAGCAGGTAGCATCACACATTTCTCTGTGCTCTTGGCTGTGGGTGTGATATGACAGCAGCTTGAGTCCCTGCCTGTGACTTCCCTCAATAAAGGACGGTCACCTGGAATGATAAGCCAAATAAATCCTTTCTCCCCTAAGATGATTTTGGACAGAGTGTTTGCCATAGCAACAAAAGTTCACGTAGGACCATGGGAAGAAAACTAAAGATATGAACCACAGACTAGGAATAAGAAATACCTGAACCACCTGTAAAGACAAAATCAATGGGCAAAATATGTGAACACACACATCATAAAGATGATACATGCTTGGCCAAAAGCACATGAAACGAAGGTCAGTATCAGTATTCTTGGTGGAAATGGAAAATTAGAAAGACTGGCCATGTCCGCTGTTCCTGAGAATGCAATGTGGCCCTGGTGTGTTATTGGTGAGAATATAAAGTGTATCACGCCTTGGAACACAGCTTGGCAACTTCTTATAAAATTAAAAATATACTTTCATATGACTCAACAATTACACTCAAAGGTAATTATATAAGAGAAAGAAAAGCTTGTTTCTACAAAAAAAATCAAAATGATAGCTTTATTCATAATAGTATTCATAACAGCCAAACAATGGAACAGCTGGAGTTCCTCAGGAGGTGGTGGATAAGCAAGTTGTGTGGCTATTCCCAGCCAAACTCAGCAATGAAACCCAACTATGGATTTCTGTAAAATGTGGATAAATATCAAAATATAGAGTATGATCCTGCTCATAGGAAGTTTTAAGAAAAACAAAACTAATCTATAGTAGCAGAAAGCAAACAGTGGTAACCCCAGGTCTTGGGTAGAGGACTGACTTGGAAAGAGCCCCCAATTAGGTCCTTGAGAATGTACTGAGTCAGCATGGTGGTGAATATGTGATGAGTGAATCCCACAAACACATTTATCTTAAAAATGGGTATGGAACATTGTATCCAAGTTATATAAAATAAAAAATTGTAGGTACAATTTGTTTTTTTTAAAAAAAAAAAAAAAGAAAGAAATGTAGAGTAGTACATGATTTCTTTACTTTTTCTTTAGATCTCTTAATAGTTTGGCCTTCTACCCTTCTAAATTCTTAGGCTTATATCCTTAGGAAGACAGTGTACAGGCAGAAACCTCCCTTTTACATCCACAGCTGCAGCCACCCACTATCAATAGCTGGCAAGCTTATGCTGCCTGTGTTTCTTATCACTTATACAAGGAATGCTTTGAGACCCTGACAAGAGTTTTCTCTAACCTTTTTTACTGCCGAAAATTGCTATTAAATGTGTATATCGACTGTGAAGAAAAAGTTGAAGCAGAATAATAAAAGAGCATGACCCAAACAGTTTGTGTGTGAATTTATTCCATAATAAATAAAGTCCCAAATTAGTTTTCGCTACGCTATGGTTTATTCTACGAACCCTGTGTGTAGAGACTTGGAGCTGGACTCCATAGCATACTTTATACCCAAACTTATAAGACAAAATGAAAATGGTGCTAAGAAGGACGTTCATAGCATTAAGTGCCTACATAAAGAAATTGGAAAGACCACATACTAGCAATTTGACAGCACACCTGAAAGCTCTAGAACAAAAAGAAGCAAGTTCACGCAAAAGTAGATAGCAGAAAACAAACTGAATACTGAAATCAATAAAATAAAAAGGAAAACATTATAAAGAATCAATGAAACAGAGTTGGTTGTTATGATAAGCTGCACGAGAGGTCTTGGTGGGTTGGGCCAGGGTGCCCCAGGCAAGACGGAAACAGACCCTGTGGGCCGCAGCATGGTGGCATTACTCACACCAGGCAGACATGACATCCATGTGGAGAGTTTTTTATTAAAGGAGGAAGGGAGAGGGTATAGAGAGACAGAGTGAGAGAGAAAGAGAGGGAAAGATGGAAAGCAGAGGTGTGCACTACATCATGGTGAGAAAGGGAGGGAGGAAGAGAGGAAGAAGGAGGGGGTTTTTCTTAATGGAGGCTTTTACGTAGAAAGACGACACTGGGCAGCCCCAAGGGGATATTCAGAATGCTAACACTAATTCTTTAGGAAAAATCAACAAGATAGACAAACCCCTAAGCACACTAACTAAAAGATGTAGAAATTATGTCCAAATTAACAAAATCAGAAACGAGAAGGGGGATGTATCAATAGGACGAAGGAAATCAAAAGAATCATTGGGTCATTGTTTAAAAACTTATAGTCCAATAATTAGAAACTAAAAGAAATGGGTGGTTTTCTCAATAGACACCACTTACCAAAGTTAAATCTGGATCTACAATTTAAATAAACCTATAACCCCAAAGGAAATAGACACAATCATTAAAAGACTCCCAACGAAAAGCCCAGGGCCATATGGTTTTGCACCGAATTCTCCCAGACACTCAAAAAAGTGCTAATACAAATACTCCTCTAATTACTACACAAAATAGAAACAGAAAGAACAGTGCCAAATTCATTTTACGAGACCATAGTCACCATCAAACTGAAATCACACAGAGTCAACAATGATAGAGAATTACAAAACAATTTCCTGCAGGAACATAGACGCAAAAATGCTCAATAAAATACTTGCAAACCAAATAGAGAAAGTACCCTAAAAGACACAGAACCTGAAGGAACTAAAAGATGCTCCCAAAACTCTGCATGCAGGAGAAACCAAGTAGTCTAAATGGTTCTAACTAAACACCATAGTAAAATTATAGACATGAAATCACTTAATATTGGTTAAAAGAACACAGCCAGCGATATCACTCCCATGGACAGTCAAATAAAACTGTATTTCTCTGTGACTATTAACAATTACATACACAGACTTCCAAGGACTACAATAGGATAATCCTGAGATTATTCTCAGGGAATTTTCTAGAATCCCTGAGATGCTATATAAATAGAATATAAAATAGAATGTGGCAAAACCAATTTCATGTCCTGTTACTTGTGCACTTCCCCATCCCTCCATCCCTTCCTCAGACCCTCTAACATACCTAGATCCTTTGCTAATGGCTCCTTTCTTTTCACCATCCAGGGTTCTTTTTTCTGCTTCAAGGGGGGGCAGGACAGACGGAGCAATGTGAGACCTGCACAGGAGAAAGAGATTCCTCAGAAAACACCTAGAACTTTTCATGAAACGAAAACGAAAGATGCTAACAACTGCCGAAAGAATAAACATGAAGGAGAGAAAATATCAAGAAAGATGTCTCTCTCTCTCTGAGGATTTCACTTTACTCTCTAAGATTGAGACTCATTCAAACACTGCTATGGGATGGTCTTCCTGTATGCTGTGAATGTGTGGCTACCATTGGTTAATAAAGAGCTGCGTGTCCTATGGCAAGACAGGTTATAGCCGGGGCGGGGTGGGGGGAATCCAACAGAGATACAGGGAGAAGAAAGGGGGAGTCCGAGAAACGCTTAGAGCTGCCAAGTAAAGCAGTGAGACACATGGCGATACATAGATTAATAGAAATGGGTTAATTGAAGATGTAACGGCTAGCTAGCAATAAGCCTGAGCCACAGACCAAACAGTTTGTAATTAAGCCTCTGAGTGATTATTTTATAAAGACAGCTGCTACCTGAGCAGGCCTGGGCGAGACTGAGAAACTTTAGTCTACAAATAACAGATCACATACTTGCAGAGAAGTTTTCTCAGGAACCCTGAGGACCAAGGGAGACTGCAAGAACACTATTCTCACCCTCAGAATCCAGACTGCTGTAATTCTCCAACAGATCTCTGCAAAAAGCCCCATCAGCAAGGTCGAAGCATTCCCATTCCTCCCACAAGAAGTACACAGTCACAGCCCTGAATGTCAACAAACCCTGAAATAAGAAAGGACAGTTTAGCCATGTGTACATGAGTAGAATGCTCTTCTTCAAGCAAGGATACATTTTCCTGATACAGGTGAGGGATTATAATTATTCAAATGAGGCTTTCTAAAATTTTGATTCAATTTTTAATGAGTGTGCTAACTATAAAATACTGTGGCCTGATAGACTCTCACACTATTTATTTTGGGCTTGCCTGGACCGAAGATGTGACATAAGAACACAGCATATGAAGACACATTTCTGAATGCTGTATTTATATCCTAGACTGCATACATCTCAGATGGAAAACTAATGGGGAGTAAGAGGTTTGCTTAATGTCTACAACCATGTGTGTGGGACTCCATAAAATATATTTTCTGTCTAATTATATCTGCACTGGTTCCTCATGTAATTATTATCTGCTCTCTGAGAATGTCTAGTCTCAGGGACAAAGGCCACTTTCTCTTGAAGAGGCAAATGGTAAAACGGGAGTTAGAAAGCATGGGTGAATTTAAATTCCAGGAGCTTTGGAACTGCCACCATAGCAGAAAGAACCCTGTTAGCAAACAATAGAAAATAAAAATACTCTACTAGGTTATTTTAAGAATTATTTTATGACAGTCTGGCAAATGTCAGATAAGTGAAAATAATCACGATAAGATCCATTTCCTGGGATATCAAACTTACCGACAACACAAAGATATCAACAGAATGTGGAAAGCTGTGTCTGTAAGGATAAAGCCGGGGAAAACGGGGTACCTCTGGAGGACGGCCAAGGTGGTCAGGAAGAGAACATGCCATGTGCAACAGGTCTAGGGTGGGAGGTTTACTGGGGAAAGGGGATGAGCAAAAGAGCCAAAGGCCGTCTCGGAGTGCGGACATGACAGAGGCAGACAGACAGACAGACAGAAAACAAGAGAGCAAGTGACGAGCAAGAGAGAACTGTGACAAACACTTTTGAGGGGTGCGAGTGGCCATTAGGGAAGCACCCAGCTTGTAGTGAGTGGAAATGTCTGAGCCTGGCTGCAGGCGATGTAAACTACCACTTCCACTGCCACCGACTCCATCACGGGCGGCGGGAGCTGAGTGTCCTTCTGAGCAGCCTCCGCGAGCACACCCCGGTCCCTCCCCTCCCGTGTCCCAGCCCCGCAGCTCCTCTGACCTGGGAGGTTCCAGGGCCGCCGGGCTGCGGTTCCCGCCGCTGCGCTGCTGACTGGTGACTTTCCCAGGCCGCCCCGCGCGGCGACTGCGGCTCCGGGGAGATTTCAGGTCCCGACCCTGGACAGCGACTACAGCTTAGGGTCGCCCCAGGGGAGTTTTCAGGTCCCCAAATACCCAGCTGTGTTCCTCACCCAGGTACTGACCACTGGGCTCCCGGAGTCCAGTACAAAATGGTGGAATTTCCTGTAGCTTCAGGCTGGTTCCATGGACCTTCTCCTCCTGGCCCCGCCCAATACGCCCCGGTTCCGGTTACGCATTTTCTTTAAACCTGCCTACCACGATCTCTTTTTCTTAATTACTTGAACAATCCTCCTGCGCCCCCCACAGACTCTTTTCCCTTAAACCACTCTCATCATGCTCTGTCCCTACCCCATTGTGCCGTCCCGCCCACTCGGTCTCAGGCTGCCTTCCACACAGCTCCAGCTGTCAGGCTGCCCTGGACCCGCTCTGCACAGCCTCCCCACATGCTTGCTGCCAGCCTGGACCAGAACTGGATCTAGGAGGACCCTGCATCTGGTATCTGACCCCCACAGTGAGTTCTCAACCTTTCAGATACAAGTTATCTGGCGTAATTTCTCATCTTGGGAAAACAGCCTCCTGGGTTAAAAACGCACAGCAAAAGACAACAAACACTCTAAATTCTGATGCTAAAGTCCCATTCCCAACACAAATTAAAACTAGGATAAAAAGCATTTGGCTCAAATCATAAACCATATCGGTAACCCCTAAGGAGAGCAATTTAAACGATATACAATATACAGAATTCAAAAAGATGAGACATGTTCAAGGAGGTAAAAGCATATAAAGCATGGGAATCAAAGAGGATAGGAACAAAATGATCCATTGGCAAGGAAATGATTGCAGAAAATGAGGACACTGTAGGATATGAAAAATGAATTCATTGGTTAAACATACATAAACAAAAACCAAACTGAAATGACAAGAAATAAAAAATGCAATAAGCCTAATAATAATTCAAAGAGGTCCATCAATCAGGTAGGAGACAGAATATCAGGCTTTAAGACAAGCACCCTTATGAGCAGCCGTGGAAAACATGGCAGTTCCCTTCCTGCCCACTTCTCAGCTGCACAGCTCCTCTGACCTTGATAGTTCTAGGACCTCCAGGATCCAGTTCTGGCCTATTCACTGATGATGGGTGACTAAAACCAGGTCCCTCAGGGAATGGTGGAGTTTCCTGTCACTCTGGGCAGGATCACTTACGTGGGTCCCCCTGGACCCGCCCACTACACCACCATCCCGGTGGTTCCTCTTAAACACTCAGGCCACACACTTCCCATTCCTTAATTAGTTTTACAGATGCATTTTTTTTTTCTTTAACCTATAACTTTTCTGATCAGGATAGTGTCCCTAACCCTCAGAGCCATGTCCCTCCACTCGGTCTCAGGCTCCCTTTCACACAGCTCCAGCTGTCACGCTGGCTGGGACCAACTCTGCACAGCCTCCCCACCTGCTTGCTGCCAGCCTAGTCCAGGACTGGGTCTAGTAGGCCTCTGCACTCTGCTACCTAACCTCCATCCTGGGTACTGAGCCCTTTCAATACTAGTTATTCTGCCTAAGTTTTCATCTTGGGATGCCAGCCTTCTGGGATCAAACCACACTATAAAATACAACAGACAGGGTAAACTCTGATTTGTTTTGGTCCCATTCTGAACACAAAATATTAAAAGAGACAAATTGTCCTTGATTCAAATCACAACCATAGCTGTATCCCCTAAGGAGAGCAATTTAAATGATATGCAAGAGGAAGAAGAGAAAATCCAGAGTCATAATCAAGGGAGTCAAAGAATATAAAGCATGTGAATCAACTCGGGATAAATACAAAATGACTGATGGACATGAAAACACAAGCAAATGGCTGAAGGAAATGGGGACATTGCAGGATATGAAAACTGAATTCAATAAATAGTAAGAAATACCATGGAAAAAAACTTGAAATGAGAAACGTAATAATTGATTGATGGTACTAATTGATGGGCATGAAAACACTAGTCAATGGCTCAAGGACAGGAGGAAAATGTAGGAAATGAAAACTGAATTCACTCAGTAGTTAGAAATACCAAAAAAAAAAATAAAAGAAAAAGAAAAAAGCTGAAATGAAACAAGAAAAGAAAATGCAATGAACCTAACAATAAATGAAACACATCAGGTAGGAGACAGAATATCAGGCTTGAAGACAAGGTAGAGGAGCTGGATGGCTCAGTCAGAAGAATAATGAATCAAAAAAAGTTCTCTGTGCAAGTAGCACTAGTTCAGCATAAAAGTGAAATTCCAACTGCATGTTCTCCTGTTATATAAAATAGTCTAAATTTTAGACACCATAACTCACTCTGGACAGCTTTACTGAGAAGCTGGATTATCATTTCCACCACTATGCAAATGATGTGACACTAAAAAGCCATCTTTATCCTTCCCTCACAGAACTCCACTATTGCTGGTCAAATGTCCAGAATTACACTATTAGCAATATTGACCTGGGAGAAGACACTTCTCAAGGAACTCAGGATTTGGAAAGGAAATAGGTGTGTCAGGAAGTCATGGTCGATCAGCTCACTGCTAACAGCCTAGTGTTGATTTCATCCTGCACTGTTCTGCTTTCACCACTAGATGGTGATATTGCAAGGTACATAGTCACAGCCTTCCAAAAGTGAGTTATACCATGCCATCTAAGACTCTGGGAATATTGAGGAAGAGGCTGTGGAAAGGAAATAAGGGGAAGAGAGGCAATGGGCATGACATGCCATTCTTGAGACTCCACACAACTACAGTAATCAGTAACCCAGAGCAACTGTACTTATCTGCACTGGCCTCACTCAAGACCAGCCCTAGCTACAATCAGTCTAGGAAGGGAAGAGGCTCACAATGCCCCACCCACCCTTTACCTCTCAACTGTGGCTATGGGCAGAACTTAGGAGAGGAGGAATCACTGTCTTTAGTTGTGTTCCTTCTGCTGAGCTCAACAGCTCAAAAACATAGCTCCAAACCCAGTTTCATAGGTGGCCCTGGTTAATCTTGGTGGATCAAAGAACAAAATGAACAGAAATGAACATACGAGGTAGGGAATAAATAAGAGAGAGATAAGGAGACAGAGAGAAGGGAGACAGGGAGGGAGGGAGGGGAAGCCAGAGAGACGTGTTGGCACTGCGGACGAGAACTGTGGGGAGTAAGAAATGTGAGCGTACACTATGCGAGATATATCATGTGAGATGGCAAAACAATAGCAAACGTTTAAATGACCACTTCAGTGTGTACTTTCGTTCTTGTGTCTTTATCTGGTTTGGTATTAGGGAATACTAGCTTCATAGTATTCTGAAGATAGAGAATCTGGAAGCCTAGCTTCATTTTTAAATCAAGGAACACTTTAAGAAGCTTCAGTATCAGTTATTCTATGAAGTCTTGACAGAGTTCTGTGTTGAATCAATCTGCTCCTGGGCTTTTTTTTTAATGGGGTGCATGAATTGCTGCTTCACTGCTGTTGCTGCTTAATCATCCATTTATTTCATGGTGGTGTTATATTGGTATTGGATATGAATTGAGATTTGGCCACTTCCTTTGGAGTTTCAAAACCAGTTGTCTAGAGGTCTTTAAAGTCAGTAGGCACAAGATATGCTCATATGTACTTATCTGCTGATTAGGATGTGCAGCTAGCTTGGGTCCTTCTCAAGTCCTGTTGATTAAAAAGTTCAGTGTACACAGATATCAGGGAGATGGCACCTAAATCTCCCTTAAGATTCCATTGCACCCCAGTCAAGATGGCCTTCACCAAGATAAATAACAAAATCTGGCATGAATGTAAGGAAAGGAACAATATTATACATCGCTTTGGGGAGTATAAACTAGAGTGGCCACTATGGAAAACAGGCTAGATTTTTCTCAAGAAACGAGAAATAAAAGTACCATATATGCTACATTGTTTAGCCATTTATCCAAGATGGCCTCCTGGTTGTTCTCTACAGTTCTATATGTGCACCCATGCCCATCAGCAAGGCTAAAGAAATGAGACTCTAGAATTCGTAGATCTCTTTACAGATTCTAGCTAAGAAATAGATTTTTCATTATTATAATGAGGACCGTGTTTCTCTGGTGGGTTCTAAGGATCGAGCTGTGCTGGCATTATTGTGACAAATAAAAGGCAGTCCAGGTCTGCAGGAGGGGGAGCCCACAGAAATATAAACCCAGACCTAGAAGTCTGTCAATAGAGCACAGAGTTCTGAGCCCATGAGCACCTTTAGATGACAGGTTCACTTTTTCACATTGTGGTACATTTTATTGTTTTCCTGCATAGGCAAAAGTAAATCAATGATGTCACCAGCTAATAGATTTTGCATATGGGCTTAGATTAAACACATTAGTGATTAATACCTTGTCACCAATGATGCATCCATGTTGAGTCAAGGAAAGAAATGTAAGCATTTTCTCTTGGAATCATTTAACTAAGAATGAATCCAAACTGGAATTCTCTACTTGAATCTCTGTCCCTCCCATTCTGTCTGTTGCATGAATTTGAATCTTTGCTTGTCTGAAGAGTGTTTTGTGAATATGTCTATGTGTTAGTCTGTTGTCTGTGTGTATGTGTGTGTGTGTGCGCGCCTGAATGTGTCTCTCTGACCCTAACAATTCTCTGTGCTCTGTCTTTATTGAACAGCATAGAAAGAATCACATGCAGAAGGAATGGAATACTTTACTGAAATCTTTAACAGAGTTTTACAAGGGATTAAGTCACTGGCTCCAACTGACACCACCTGATCAGATAACAAACAGTATTACAAACATCACTGTTTATCAGTCAATACCTACAGGTCATATTCATTTTAGAAGGTTACTTTCAGCCTCTGTATTTGCTACTTTGAGCGAACAACACACATGCATTATCTGGTTTGGGGGCATGGAAAAGCCCATAACCTAACGTTATAGCTATGCATTACCTTAGGGTATAACAGTTGACAACATGAGAAATACAAGGAAAATAAGGTTTATTTTTACATTGTTTTCTTAAAAGCATGGTAAACAAAGAAGCTAAGTACACAGTAGCATAGCATGGTTAAGTCTCAAATTTCCTCAAGATGTATTATTAACTTTGGCTGTGGGGTCCAGCAACAAGTTCCAGTCTCTTAGAAGGTCAGAGTTATTTTCATAATATTGCTTGCCACACTTAATGATTCTGACAATAGGCAATTAAAAAAACTACAGCTCGGCTGCATGTAGCACTCTTGCAATCCTCTGATGTTTGTAAGAAAAACAAGAACTGCAAAGTGCTCTTTTGTAAATATATGAAGGTAATCTCCAAATAATAAAGGAGATGGAGTCCCAATTGGCCATCTCTAGTCGCCAAATAAAGTTTCCAGTACCAGGACTAGGATACATCCAATTGAGTTGTTGGCTAAAGGGATCCCATGGAAATCCTCAAATAATCCATGCTGTTGCCAAAAGAAGAGGTTGCTCTCCACAAAGTGACAGCAAGGCTCTAATGCTGAAGACAAGACCCACACAACTCATTAAACATGGAGAGGTGTAGCTGGTGCCTACATAGAACATTCACCACTATGTTCTAGTGTTGTTGGAACAGGAAAGTACTTCCTAGGTTACCAAAAGAGAAACATGTGCATTAACTCAGCCACAATTGACCACATCTTTCTATCTACAATCTGTCCTACCTGTAAAATATTCTAGGACAATGATGGCAGAAAGCTTTTGGAGTTTGGGAGTAACCAACCATTGTTCAATTTGACTCCAGGTCCAATCTACTAGATGGAACCCATACCCTACACTTCTCAGGTGACCCAGAGACTAGATAGCACAGACACCTATGATAAAGCCAAATACTACTGGTCTAATTTAAAAAAAGAAAAAGAAAAGAAACACTAATAAAACAACTCCTAATGATGTTCTGCTATACTCAAAGATCTGTGCCTTATTCAGCCATCAGAGAACCTTCCTCTTGCCTCAACTGGGAACAAATACAGAGACCTGCAGCAAGACAAAACACAGGGAGACTTTGGAACACACAGCTCTAAATTGGATGCCTTCATCGAATACCACTACTCAGAGCTGAGGGAACCTCACAAAAAAGGATGCAGAAAGAGTGTAAGAGTCACAGGGGATGGAGTATACCAAGAGAACAACTGGGCAAAGATCATATGAACTCAGAAACTGAAGCAGCAAGCACGGAGCCTTCATGGGTTGGCACCAGGCAGCTGTGTATATATTAACAGCTTTAAGTTTAGTAATTCTATGGAATTCCTGAATGTGTGAATGAGTGGGACTCTGATTCTTGTGCCTGCCCTTGGAACTCCTTTGTTTTTACTGATTTGCCTTGTCCAACATCACTGTGATGGTTTTTCATTTTAGCTTATTATATTTAATTTTGTTGTGCTTTGTTATTACCTCTAAAAGCCTGTTCTTTTCTAATGAGAGCCAGAAAGTGGACCCAAAAGTGAGAGGAGGTGGGGAGGAACTGGGGGGAGTAGAGGGACAGGAAACTGTAATCAGGATATATTGTGTGAGAAAAGTATCTATTTTTAATAAATGGGGGGGAAAAGAAGAAAGCTATCTTATAAAATCAATGAATTTCATGATGTCCCTTTAAAATGAGAATACCAAAACAAAATATAACTGGTGACTTTAGTCTTTCCTTTTCTTTGGAAAGCTTCCCAACTCTGTGTTTTTCCTTTTCTTGAAACTATGGATTATGTATGTTGAGATTCTGAACAATTATTGCAATTGACAGGTTTCCATTTCTTTAAAATAATAGTTTTATTCAAGTATGTGAGTGTTCACCTGCATGTTTTTCTGTGCTATGCATGCCTACATGATGGCCATTGAGCCCTAAAGTTGGTACCAAACCTTTGGCATTGGAGTCAGGTACTGTCTTGACCTGCCCTACATATAGAGAGAATGAAGCTGGGTTTCCATGCATAAACAGCAAATGTCTTTATTGCACAGATACCTTTCTAGCCACCAGGTTCACATCTGTGCTACACATTTGTTATGCAGCTAACTAACCAATTTTTTTACAAAATGAAGAAAAAAATCA